TGGTGACCAGACCCTAAAGACTGGGAGGTTCGTCGTGGGTTCGCGCCACGGTCGGACAGGCTGGCTGCTTGGAGTTTTCCGGGTTTTCTCCTTGCCTATAACGACTGAATAGGAGGCCAGTTCCCCATAAAAGTCCTCCCGGAAGGCATTTATTTCCCGCGCGTACGTATGGCTGTTCGATACAGCCGGCTAATCGGTCGCCTAGCGATCATACACATACACAAGTCTACTCGGAGAAAGAGCCTACATTGAGCTAAAATCTCCATATAAACACCATCGAAGAAGAAAGAGGTACGACTTCGCTCGAAAAAAACCACCAGAAGGAGGTGCAGCCAGTGTTTCTTTCAGAAAACATTCTCCGGAGATATTTTTCTGATCTGAATTAGAGAAAAATGCAAATTGCTCGGTCAATTTATATATACTTATATAATTGTTTTTATGTATATACTGTGTGTTTTAGAAAAATGTTTATATGATGTTATACAAGGGAATATTTTTCAATATCCGAGGATATATCTTCCTGGACCCTTCCTGGAAGAAACCCTTGGTGCAGCTGCGCCCTGGTTTCCCCTCTAAATCCGCCCTCTAAACAGAGCACATAAGGTACACAGGTTATTAAGTAGGATTTCGCTTGTTTTTAACCCTCAAAAACGGAATAAAATTTTAAATAAAATCATTAAATTATTTCATAAGTCTTCAAATGCATAGGTCAATATGCATCTTCAAATGCATTATTTCATAGGTCAATATACTGTATAAACAATTTTTAAAACATGATCTAAGTTTAACCATTTTTAAATTCATTTTTCAATCAAATTCAATCAAATTTTTCAATCAAATTTTTCAATTAAATTCATTTTTCTATCATGGTTTGGCAATAAACAATATCTTTACTCTAGTATTAATTAAGTAAAAGAATTTTTTAAAAAGATTATTTTTGATAATACTTTTTATTATCAAACTATAGTATTATGACTAATAATTATGTTTGCATTAACATAGTTAATGGACATAATATTGAAGCAAAAAACAAAAATTTATACGATCTAGAAAAGTGTGGCAATATGTTTTACCTTAATTTAAACTAACAGGCGGACGACGAAATATTTTCGATAGAGGTGTATTAATTTGGAATCGATTTACCAGTATTGTATTGCTAATTAGGAAGATGAAGCACATCTAAGGGTCCCGGATCTCGGGAGCTCCGAAATTAAAGACGAAAAGATGTAAAATTATGAGGGAGGAGCCTCAATCTTTTATGCCTAGAGATTCCGACAGATCTTAATTCGTCACTTAAGCAAATTGCAGGATTAAAACAGCATTAATAATACAGTCAACTTCCCTATAACATTGTTAATTATTTCGTTTTATATGAATTCCATGTTGTTCGAGTCACTTAGATTTTACAAATACGTGTGCCGGGCTGTGAACGGCTCACGTATTTGTAAAATCTAAGTGACTCGTACAACATGAAATTCATATAAAACGGGATAATCAACAGTATTATAGGGGGTCGACTGTACTTTTGATGTGTATCAAATATTATCACGATAATTTTGTGATCCATCTTTCGTTACATTGTTTAGTAATTTATAATTCTCACGAAATTGCATTTTTATTTAACATGTTTTGTTTAATTTCATTTGTTATATTGTAATGGAAGCCGGAAAAAAACTTTTGCTATATTCTTGTCTTTTTAAATTATTTACGAAATTATATTGTATGTGTACTGTAATAAGATGATAAACTTAAAACTATAAAAGTTTAGTTTTAGAAACTGAGTGAAAATATTATATTGAAACTTACCGTAAATATGTATGACTTAACATAACACTGTGCAGTTTCAGCTATAATTATTCCTTGACTTTATAGAGAATTTAAAAATAAAGAAAACTCAAGTATGTCAGAAGAATGATGAATTAAAATTATTTGAAAAACAAAGTAATTTATTAATTAATATAAAATAAATATACCAAAGTGTTTAATAAATTTTATTAAATGCTTTTATTTAACTTGCTTTGTATGCTCTCAAATCTTGCAACTCAAATTTTATCCACTTCTAATTAAGATGTAAGGTGAAACTTAGAGGATTTACTAAGATATATCCTCTAAGTTTTACCTTGTCTTAATTATCATTAAAATGAATACTGTAATCATTATTAAAATGCCTCACCTCAAAACTCCAAAAACAAAACCAAATGTAGAATTTAATCATGATGTGCGTGTAATAATGCATACGGTGGAATTGGATTGAATTATTATTGTTTAATGGCACAAGGTCTTCATGGGCCATGCTGTGCACCAATGTATACGGTGGTAGTGAGGTGATTCTACCATCTCTCATCCCAAACACAAAAAACATGACCAATAAAAGCGTTTATTAGATATTTTAAATGTATTAAAATTATTAGATGATATATTTATAAGAACAGATATTGTTCACTCTTCGAAATTTATTACTAAAATTTTTACTATATCTCAATAGAAACAATATTATTTTATCTGTAAGTTATATAGTTTACTGACAGTATAAAAATATATTTCTTCTATTTTAAAAGCTTGTTTTAGTTTCATTAACTCGAACTCCATGTTTTTAAATTTGTTTAATAATAATATATCTTATCACACTTTATATATTTTCGCAATTGAATAATGTTGGAATTTTATTTTCTCGCATAAAATTCAGAAAAAATAAATTGCAAGTCTGTAAGAAAACTTTAATGATTAAAACGTCTCATGATCGATACACTTCGGTTTTATTACTTAAAGTGATAATTAAAATGATTACATATTCACTTTCTTTCACATTAAAGCTGGTGTATTATTTCATCACATTTATACTTAATCTACTTATATCAATGAATGAGGATAAAATAGGGTAATTTTCTTTAAATAAAGAGGGGAAAGAAATACATTGCTGGGATATAAACAGCAGATAGAACATCTTCACCGTCGGAATGATGGTTTCATCTCATTCTTTCCATTTTCATAAGGAAACTGAAATTAAAAAATTAAAAATTATTTATAAGAAAGTATTAAATGACCAAAAATAAACAATTAAAATTATTATTTTATTGCTTTAACAAATAATTTAAAAAATAATACGTTATAAATCAGTATTTAAATTACTTTTATTTTAAGAGACAATATGTAACATTATCATTTAATGAATTTAAATTGAATAAATTAAATTTTAAATTTTTCTAATATATTCTTGATCATGTCTTAAGAGAAAGAAGCAGTAAAGTATTAATAGAATTCATTGCATTGATCGAATTCAGAAAAATTTGTATAAATTCATAGTATAAGGCAACGCAACGCATGGGCTATCTACTAAGGTGTGGGAAACTTCGGGAAAATAGTCCCTATTTAGGTATTAGACACGAAGAAAATCCGGAAAACTCCACGTGGGCAGCCCATTGTGAGATGCGAACCCGCGACAAACCTCCAGTGTCCAGTGGTTTTATGCTCATCTGGTAGGCGAAAAATTGGTATGAATTTCAGCAATCGACGTATTACGATTGATTATATCATTATAAATTATAATGTCAAACAAAGAAAATATTAATAAATCCGAAAAACTATTATTAATAAAATTGTGTATAAATTAAAACGAAAATGTTGAAATTACATATTCATTACTAGATTTAGACAAACAATCCCATATTTTATAAATACTACATATGAACAAATAAATAAATAATAATATAAGAAAATTTTCTTGTTGATAACATTTTTATAACTATTTATACACTATGAGAATCATTCTATCGTATTAGAACTTAATATATATAATAAAATAATGTTTTTATTATAGATATAAAATACTTTTATTACATTTTTTATACCACACCAAGGCCATGACTTGAAAAACAATTTAAAAATATACACACATTTTTTAAGATGTGCTGTTTTAAAATGGGATAAATCGATCGTATATATTATCCAGCAAATTAATCTTACTGTCCTATATATTTTAAGCAATATTCCTTCTCTGTAAACAATTTTCAGAAAGAATACATTTTATTTTCGTCATTTCCCCCTTGTTTTTGACGTGACCAAAATATTACCGTAGTAAACATTTAAGCTTCATTAAATTTATATACTTACAAAGGATGTATCCTGTTCTATTACAAGTAATACATTCTCTTTAAAATAATTTATTGATTATTTTTAAATTTACTACTTCAATAAAATTATTAAAAATATATTTTTTAATTTAATGAATGCTAGAATAGTTTTAAAAAAAAATTTTAATTAAATAAAGATTTATTCTTTGTAAGAACATTCAGGGGAGAAGCCACTGGAGAGGTTTGTGGATCGTTTCTTCCCCAATGTCGAAGAATTCCACTGAATATTCGGCGAAGTCACGCAACCAAAAGGAGGAAAAAAATAATAACAACAATATATTTTTCGGAATTAAGAAAAATACAGAAGGATAGAGAAGTGTAATGAAGGAAGGATAAGATGAATGGGGGGAAAATGAGCCAGTCTTCTTGACCGGACCGATATGTGGGCGTTTTATGGGATCCGGGAGTAGCGAGGGGTTCCTTCTAAATAAATGAAATACGTAGAGTGTTTCTCTATTAATAAAAAGAAAAAGATTTTATTTTTGTTAGAAAAAATAACATTAATCTATAAGGATAGTAACCATTACGGGGCTCTTAAATTTTCTTCGCCTGGGAAAAAATTCTCAACTCTCCTCTTTGAAGGCCCTTGGCTTCGGTATGAACTATCGATATCAGTCATAAGTATCAGTCGCCAAAATCACCCCTAATGATAAATGCCTAAATACAGTCCTGAGAACATTAGTATAAAGATCAGAGAGATTGTTTTCATTATTATTCCCATGTGTTCACTTTAATTTCCACTTTACAGGCAATTTGAATATAAAATGTTTCGACCTGTTGGTAAATATTTGAATACCTGTAAGCAATTTACATCTTCAATAAAGCGAATGATATAAAAATACTGCATTTAGATTGAATTCATTTTATATACGAGGAAGATAAAAGAGAAAAAATAATCGATTATCCTAAAATGTAACAGGTTGTTTGCATTCTCACTAAACATATAAACCAAAATAAATAAGATAATGCAAGAAAACTTCGATCTTAATACAACTTAATGCCATTCTTTATAGAATAAAATAAGCAAATATTGTTAACTAAATTATAATTACAACAAAGAGAAAAGATAACCAAATTATTCAACATTAATAATTGAGTTAGGTATACAAATTAAAAATATTTTTAACGAAGGATTTACATATACAGAACGTAAATGGATGATGTTACACAGATCGGGAGCAGATTCAGTGGTCCGAAGTAATGATATTTGCTTATTATACTTACGGCCGGAAATATGTGCGAGCGGTAGAGGGCTGCAAAGTTCTGCTTAGTGTGAAACTCCAGTGCAGTCAGAAAAATATATTGTGGGACGAATAGTCGTAGAAGTTAAAATATATCAAAGAACATCCAAGTATTTTTCAAAGAGTTCGGCAGAATATCATCAAGGGATGCCACTTCGAACACTTTCTATAACATTGCACAGAGCACTAAAGCGTCAACACACAATAAATATTCAGCAATAAACAAACCCATTTTCCAACAAATGTGTATTTGTGAAATGTCTTAGTGCCATAGGAATAACAGCATAAAACTTCGCGGCTCTCTACCACTTACACGACACCCAGCCTATAGCTAGACGGGAGCCATGGCAACTGTAGAAAGTTGAAAACTATTGAGTTACTCTTGTCCAAATGACTAAATTCTTGTTCCAAATGACGACTTGTTCCAAATAACTAAATTCTGCTTATATATCTAATTAAAAAAACTATAAATAAAATCTTAACGTTCAAAATTCGAATAATTTTTGCACTGATTTGTGCATATTCTAAATTTATTTAATAGTATTATATTATATTTCAAAAATATTCTGGGAAAGAGCCTCAGACACTTTTTCTCTGGGGTATGTGGTCTCGAGATCCCGATAAAGTCATCCCACAATTTGCTAGAGATACCCCTTCTACAGTCGTTCTAGCTATCCCCCACGACACGTTTCAGGCCGTAATTATAATAAGTAAATATCATCATTTTGGACCACTGAACCTGTTACCGATCTGCGTAACATCATCTCATTTGCACCCTGTACATAAAGCTATATTAAATGTTTATTATAAAATATATTTTTAAAATTATGATTAGAAATTTTCAATATTTTAAAGTTAAAGTTGAAAAAATAATTCAACTGATTAAAATCATCTCTGAAAATTGTCTATTTCTATTATTCGGCACTTCTCTAACCAATTATAGAAAAGAACGTTTTTAAAATTTATATTTCATAATTCTTTTCTTTAATAACACGACCAAAAAATTATATAATAAAGATTTAAGAGTCATAAAAGCTCAAATAACTAACTAGAAAATGCGATAAATTAAATAAATGTAAAAATAATTCTGAAATAAAATATTAAAAACATAAGTGACGAAATCACCGTTATAGATTCCATAAAATTTTTAATGTTTATGAAAAGAAGATATTCTTTTTGTATTCTAGAGATCTTTTTTAATATATCCAATTAAGTTGATATGTAGAAGTTAAAGACACGGTAATAAAATAAAGATAGCTGTAATTCTGTTATAACAATAAATTTTGATGAGGTTGTTTCTCTGTTTTTATATTTTATTTCACTAGTAACCTGGATTGTTAAACAGAAAGAAAACGGATTATATCCAAATACTGCAACAAGGATTCTCTATATAATGAACGTCACGTCCTAAACGTGTTTTACTATCAAGCTGTACTCTTAAACTTACCATTTATAAATTTGAAAAAGTTTTTATAGTTATAGAAAAATAAACATTAAAATAAAAAAAAAACACTTACCTTCGGAAACATGCTTTGATATTTATCGACGCTTCTTCCAAACCTAAAAAAATGCATCATTTTAAAAACAATTTTCTGTTTATATTAAAATATATAAAGTAATATTTAATGAAAACAGAATAAAAACAAATTGTAATTATTCAGATATTTAGTTTGTCAATGATTTTAAATACACTTTTCTTACTTCATTACGCCATTCTTTTTATGATAAAAACTAAACACCTGAACTAACATAAAATTTTTAAATGTTTCTGTTATTTTATGAATAAAATTGAATCAACAAAACTTTCCCTTATTAAAAAAATAAGTTTCTTTTAAGATTTTAATGCAAAAATGTATCTTAGTATAATGGATAATCGCTGTTATTACTACTGGCTGTGAATACGTTTACTACATTCAGTAACTACATGCTGATATTATGGATCGTAAAACGTTTCCGATATTTTTATATACTTAAATTATTGTAGATTTTTCCGTACACTTTACGGAATTTAATATAAAATAGTTGTTTACTTTCTTTCCGGTCATTCCTATAATATATATTTATTTTACAGAAGACATTGGGCGTTGATCCATACTTAAACACGTATCTGAAAATTGAGTTTAATGAAACGGTTTACGAGATTTTACACAAAATTGGAAAAGGAGTATTTTTAGTTGAGGGATCACGATACTTTATATTATAGTCGGAGAAGAAAGCGACATTTTGTATCCTCGCACGCCAACATCGCATCTAAACGAGTTACACACGTCAACAAGGAATAACCAAATCTCTCTGGGACACCAGGAATGACAACTTGTTGACATTTCAAGCGATTTATCGCCATTCAATCTGTCCCCGGAGAAGATACAATTTTCATTGGTAGCGACAAATTGACATTAGAAGCGAAGTGACAGGTGATCTTTCGACAATATAAATTTTCTTTCGGGATCCATTAATCCAGAAAGACATTTTTAACTCTGTCTTTTATAAGTTTTAAGTCTCTGTTCTTCAACATATATCTTAAGCATGAGCATAGATCTATATTGGACAGAAGGGCATAAGTTATCGCCAATATTTTAGTACTGGCAAACTGTCCCTCTCCCAGCGTATTTTTATTTTATACCATACTACAAAAATTAGGATTGGAAACGAGTACTGTACTGTACATCTCATTTTTTGTATTTACTCAAAACCCGACAAAGAAATTTTTCTTACTCATTGTCATTGGTCTGTTTCCCTCAATATATATATACAGATCGACACTGATGGTCTTAAGATAATTTCAAGGTATCAAAATATAAAACCGACTCTCGGAATTGCAATAATTACTTATTTTTCCTGTGTTTATTTGTTGATTAAACTAAATAATGCGAAAACACAACGCAAAATGTTTACTTTTATACTACAAAAGTTTAATTCGAGAATTTCATGTCAAAACTTTAATTCTAAATAATAGCTTGTTTTAAAAAGAAAAAAAATCTAATTTAAACAAATAAATATATTTCAAATTTTAAATTTTTTGAAAACATTTCAAATTAAAATAATACCAGTTACTTATTCCCATCGTTACAAAAAAAAAATGTTAAATTAGAAATTCGAAAAAAAATAAATAAATTTTACATTTCTAACGTTACAAATTGAAAAGTTTATTTTGAAATACTAAATTAATACAAACGATTATTTTTATTATTGGCAAAATACACTTCTTTTTAATAAATTTTAAAACTTAATATAATATTTTAAATGATATGACAAAAATGATTAAATATTAATAAGTTACATTGTGAAAAAATATTATCTTAACATTAAAAATTGTAGGGGAAAAAATCAAGCTAAAAATTTATTATTTTTTTACACTAGTCGCTTAATTGTGCTTAACTTCCGAAAAGTTTGGCATATTATAAAACTTGTCAAAGTTTCCCATCGAATAACCTGCTTCAAGTACTAGCTTCTTATGTAACCTGTGCAAAATTTTATTTTTGACTCCTTTTTTTCTTTTGGAAACATAAGAAAACAAATACGATAAAAATGATCGGGCTTTATTTTAGGGCTTCCTTTGTCCTGATACCTGTGTCTGCGCACCTCTTGTACTGTATCTGGCTAGTTAAGACATTAACCTGATGTATAATAACTTTATATTCTCAAATTATATCTTTCATACGATTCATATGCTCATCAGAAGCGTTTATCTGGTATAATAAGTTTTTTTTAATTTAAAAAAAACAATAGCCGATTTTAAAAAGTCATAAAAAAAGTCAGATGTTTTCCTATAAAGTAAGATTTTTTTTTACTCGTAGTGAAAAACTTTTTAAATAATATTTTTGCTATAGAAATTATCTTTATAACGAAATACGTATTTTATTTTTTAAAAAATCTATCGCGGTAATATAATGTTTGTGAAGATAGATTTTTTTTGTTTAATTTAATTGTTTTGTTTAATGATTACAGTTTGGAAAAGACTTAACTTTTATGTACATAAAACTATCTTCGTAGCAATGATAAGATGATATGTAGTAAAAAATATACGAATTTGTTTACTTTAATCATTAAATTAAAATTCTATATAAAAATAACTATGAAAAATGACATGGCAGACTTTCAAACTTTAATTTTTTTAATTAAAAAAACTAATATTAAACTCAAATGTTCCTTCATTTTTTAACAATTTCAATCAATACTTTATTGTTTTAATAACTTTTCTACGGTGTTTGCCTTTTTTTTTTTATCGCATGTCTCTTCAATATTAAAATACAACGCAACATCGAAAACGTTGCTCGCGAAGAATCGCTCGTTAGCGAGCGATGCTTCGCGACTATTTTACTATTCAAGAGCTTACAACTCTTACATAGTACAATATTTTATTTTAAAATTACAGATATAAAACCGNAAAACTATAAATAAAATCTTAACGTTCAAAATTCGAATAATTTTTGCACTGATTTGTGCATATTCTAAATTTATTTAATAGTATTATATTATATTTCAAAAATATTCTGGGAAAGAGCCTCAGACACTTTTTCTCTGGGGTATGTGGTCTCGAGATCCCGATAAAGTCATCCCACAATTTGCTAGAGATACCCCTTCTACAGTCGTTCTAGCTATCCCCCACGACACGTTTCAGGCCGTAATTATAATAAGTAAATATCATCATTTTGGACCACTGAACCTGTTACCGATCTGCGTAACATCATCTCATTTGCACCCTGTACATAAAGCTATATTAAATGTTTATTATAAAATATATTTTTAAAATTATGATTAGAAATTTTCAATATTTTAAAGTTAAAGTTGAAAAAATAATTCAACTGATTAAAATCATCTCTGAAAATTGTCTATTTCTATTATTCGGCACTTCTCTAACCAATTATAGAAAAGAACGTTTTTAAAATTTATATTTCATAATTCTTTTCTTTAATAACACGACCAAAAAATTATATAATAAAGATTTAAGAGTCATAAAAGCTCAAATAACTAACTAGAAAATGCGATAAATTAAATAAATGTAAAAATAATTCTGAAATAAAATATTAAAAACATATAAGTGACGAAATCACCGTTATAGATTCCATAAAATTTTTAATGTTTATGAAAAGAAGATATTCTTTTTGTATTCTAGAGATCTTTTTTAATATATCCAATTAAGTTGATATGTAGAAGTTAAAGACACGGTAATAAAATAAAGATAGCTGTAATTCTGTTATAACAATAAATTTTGATGAGGTTGTTTCTCTGTTTTTATATTTTATTTCACTAGTAACCTGGATTGTTAAACAGAAAGAAAACGGATTATATCCAAATACTGCAACAAGGATTCTCTATATAATGAACGTCACGTCCTAAACGTGTTTTACTATCAAGCTGTACTCTTAAACTTACCATTTATAAATTTGAAAAAGTTTTTATAGTTATAGAAAAATAAACATTAAAATAAAAAAAAAACACTTACCTTCGGAAACATGCTTTGATATTTATCGACGCTTCTTCCAAACCTAAAAAAATGCATCATTTTAAAAACAATTTTCTGTTTATATTAAAATATATAAAGTAATATTTAATGAAAACAGAATAAAAACAAATTGTAATTATTCAGATATTTAGTTTGTCAATGATTTTAAATACACTTTTCTTACTTCATTACGCCATTCTTTTTATGATAAAAACTAAACACCTGAACTAACATAAAATTTTTAAATGTTTCTGTTATTTTATGAATAAAATTGAATCAACAAAACTTTCCCTTATTAAAAAAATAAGTTTCTTTTAAGATTTTAATGCAAAAATGTATCTTAGTATAATGGATAATCGCTGTTATTACTACTGGCTGTGAATACGTTTACTACATTCAGTAACTACATGCTGATATTATGGATCGTAAAACGTTTCCGATATTTTTATATACTTAAATTATTGTAGATTTTTCCGTACACTTTACGGAATTTAATATAAAATAGTTGTTTACTTTCTTTCCGGTCATTCCTATAATATATATTTATTTTACAGAAGACATTGGGCGTTGATCCATACTTAAACACGTATCTGAAAATTGAGTTTAATGAAACGGTTTACGAGATTTTACACAAAATTGGAAAAGGAGTATTTTTAGTTGAGGGATCACGATACTTTATATTATAGTCGGAGAAGAAAGCGACATTTTGTATCCTCGCACGCCAACATCGCATCTAAACGAGTTACACACGTCAACAAGGAATAACCAAATCTCTCTGGGACACCAGGAATGACAACTTGTTGACATTTCAAGCGATTTATCGCCATTCAATCTGTCCCCGGAGAAGATACAATTTTCATTGGTAGCGACAAATTGACATTAGAAGCGAAGTGACAGGTGATCTTTCGACAATATAAATTTTCTTTCGGGATCCATTAATCCAGAAAGACATTTTTAACTCTGTCTTTTATAAGTTTTAAGTCTCTGTTCTTCAACATATATCTTAAGCATGAGCATAGATCTATATTGGACAGAAGGGCATAAGTTATCGCCAATATTTTAGTACTGGCAAACTGTCCCTCTCCCAGCGTATTTTTATTTTATACCATACTACAAAAATTAGGATTGGAAACGAGTACTGTACTGTACATCTCATTTTTTGTATTTACTCAAAACCCGACAAAGAAATTTTTCTTACTCATTGTCATTGGTCTGTTTCCCTCAATATATATATACAGATCGACACTGATGGTCTTAAGATAATTTCAAGGTATCAAAATATAAAACCGACTCTCGGAATTGCAATAATTACTTATTTTTCCTGTGTTTATTTGTTGATTAAACTAAATAATGCGAAAACACAACGCAAAATGTTTACTTTTATACTACAAAAGTTTAATTCGAGAATTTCATGTCAAAACTTTAATTCTAAATAATAGCTTGTTTTAAAAAGAAAAAAAATCTAATTTAAACAAGAGTTAAATGACGTAT